GGGCAGAGATAATGAGAAATGGAGTAGCAGTGGCTCCACAAAGCCCTTAATCACAATTTTCAACCCACCACATGACAATATGAATCTTATCAAGGGTTGAAGGCTGCTTTCATCACCCCTCTGTACAGATTCATGCGTGCAGGCGGGGGCGGGGCGGGTACCTTGTTCACTGCTCCTGGCTGCTGCCCCCTCAGTCCAGCCTGCGCTGCCGCACCCAGCTGCTGGACACCCTGCAGCTGCTGTAAAGAGTCGGGCAGCATGTTGTTCCCCAGAGTCATGTTTGGGTAGCCCATCCTGGGGGATCCGTTCATGACCTGTCCACCCATCATGCCTTGCTGCTGCGACGTGGGCGCCTGCTGCTGCCCATTCCCCTTGGGGGCTCCCGCCATGCCTCTGATCATGCCGGGCCCGCCCATCCCAGCTGGGTGCATCATGGACGCATGCTGAGGGGAGGGCTGCTGAGGTGGGCCGCCCATGCCGGCCGGTCCCGCGGAAGCGTTCATACCACTATGGAGCCCCATCGCACCCCCTCCCGGGCTCGCCCCCGCCACCTGCTGGCCAGAGGGAGGTCCGGGCGGCCCGCTGGAGCGCAGGAGCTCCGACAGCTGCTTGTGCTTGGCTGCTGCGTCCTGCACCCCGTGGGGACCCCCGCCCACGCCAGCGTGCAGCTGGCCCAGATCCCCGCCATTGGGCAAGCCCAGCTCTGAGCTGATGAGCTCGTCTGGGAGGTCATGCTCCAGGTCAAACAGTGAGCTGAAATCTGTCGGGAGAGAAACGGGGGAAACAAGTGTCAGTGAGATGAGAGCTGACGGCGGACGCTGCCATCACGGGTAGTCACATCAGCCGTCGGGTTGCTGGCGTTTGGATGCGACAGCTCTGACTAGCTACGAAATCAACTCCTGTTGGGTGGGAATAGAATTACATATTTATAAAAATGGGACATGGAGGAGGTCCGCCCAAACTAACAACTTTGTATGAGATGGAACAACAGCAGCTCGAGGTCAGACGAGCAGCACATTTGTACATTGCGAACAAAAGCTGGGGAAAAAAACGAAAACAAACAAAAACTGCAGAAAGACAAAAATCCCCACACATATACCCAAAGCCCCTGGTCCTCAGTGCCCTACAACCCCCCATGTCCCATAACCCAGGGCATGCCAGCGCACCCAACAGATACCATACTGCTGGGTATAAAGCCACAAGAAGGCAGACAGTAGTGCAGGCATGTGACCAAATACATCCTTTACCAAATTACACACTCACAAGCATACACTAAACGCTAACAAGATGTGCCGCAGGGCCACCACCTGCCTGGGGGTGCAGTGAGCACACCAGGACGCCTCCCTGTCCCCCGACCGCGCCGCTGTGTTAAGGTGGCTGTGTTAAGGAGGCCCGGCCAGGATGTAGCGAGAAGCGTTAGCCGCCAGGCTTTGCCGGGGAACAAAACCTTGACAGAAAACGCACCACTTACGCTGGTGGCTTTCCTGCCACACATCAAATCCAAGGGTGGCACATAACTGCTGAGGCACCAACCAAACTAATCACAACCAAAATAAATTAATAGATTAAACTATTAATATAGTCTTTAGTGTGATGCATACTCATTTCAGCTTAGCAGAACTACATCCACATACTAGGCTACAATACAGGCAAATACTCATGAGGGAAAAAAAAAAATCAGTCCTTTATTAAGCATTTACTCACACCTCTGCACAGCAAGCTGACTCAAAACATCGTACGCTATGCTCACGTGCCTGAAAATCGTTTCTACATAAGAATGGTAACACAGGCACAAGCGATTGAGACACCCACCCGTCTACATTCACAACTGTTAAAGAACCCATCATGATTTGATCAACAGCTCAATAAATCAATTTAGGCCATAGGCACAAAGTTTCTAATCTTTCTAGACGTTAAATTAACGTTATTAGTGGCACCACGGAGTTTAGCAACACAAAGTTTTGCTGTGTAAACAGGGGTATTGAAATTAATTGATGTGACAGGTGCAGCAGGTCACAGGAACATCTATATTATTGACGCTAGTAAAATTCTCGTTTTAGGCTGTCGTCTGTGCACAACTAAAAAAAATAACTATAGTGGCATCACCGAAGTTCCCTTCGCGGCCACAGCACTTTGTCAGCAATAGTCTACGCAAGGATCCATCTTCTAAATTACAGACCGAGACCCGGTATTAACGTTTTGCATGTCAGATGTAATAAGCGAATGTGAAAGGCACTTCTGCCATGAATCTGTACGCCATCGAGACACAACCAAAAACGACACGGCTGTAATCTCTCATCATTCCTGTATTAGTAACGTATCGTACACTAGCCATTAAACAAAAGTACTATCACGACAGACAAACAACCTATTGTCCAGCAATCAGCGAGCCTTAGACGGGCAGACAAAATGGCAAACTGATGAGTTTCCCCGACTCTACAAGAAGTTTCTTGTCTTCACGGAGTCCATCAACCAATTCTTTTTAAATACCTAAATTCATCAGGTACGAATCTCGTCGCCCGGCAGACTGGATCTGACCTGCGTGGGTCTCTTTCCCAGAAGATGCGCGGAGCTGCCGACTGCGGACGAACAAAAGGGTCCCAGTACAATGGAAATGTCCGGGACTCCATGCGGGCCAAATGGCCACGGATCGGAACCGACAGGCCTCGGAAACCGGGATATGCGGTACCGGGAAGGCTCCAAAGGAGCAAAGCCGGGAGAAAGACACCGTATGTATGTGGACAGCCAGGCAGAGGGGGGCGGCATCGCATTCCTCCTAAACACCTATTGCATTTACAGGGGATCGGGAAATAAAAATCCCTCACACCCGGCTATTGACTTTCACAGACCAGGTTCACCTAGCTGACCGGTACTGAGACACAAAAATCGAAGTTTGCACCGATTTAAATGACCGGCTCCCTCACTCACTTTCCTTTGGATGCTCCATAACACGTCCATCTACCAACTTTCCCCGGTGATTTGTCGTGTTTCCAAAGTGGACGAGTTCCGGCATCCAGAGCCCGAAACGCTCCCCAGACACCGAGCTAACCGGCTAACGCAGCCACTACCGGGTCTGCAAACATACATTCGTCTTGCTCGACACAAGCGACGCTTTACGACTTAAAATGCATCGTATTAAATTAGTTTACATGAAATCGGAGAGATTTAACACATCTTCAGCAGAAATACAAACAGTAGCTAGCTGACTTCGCTGAATTCCCCACGACTGCACTAGAGGAGAGGAAGGTAATTACGCTGCTAGCACATCACATCTGTCTAATAAGTCAAACAAACGCAACACTGCTGAAACTTAAAATTAAAATGTACGGCGACGACGAAGCATGTCAAAAAATGAATTATTGATATTTACCATTTCCATCACTGGCAGACAGTGCCGGCGAAGAGAGTTTAGGCCTCTTGGCTGAAGGCGGGCCGGAGTCCAGACCATTATCGGCCATATTTTTTTTCTCCACGAATCAAAAATATAAGCTCGTTATCCAGAAATAAAACGCGTTATTCTCCTTTCCGTCGTCCAGTGTCCGTTCTTATCGAACGTCCGCGACTTTCCCCCCCCCCTCCTTTTTCGGGCCGATGCGGAGGGGGCCGTCTTGTGTATATGTATTTTAAATACACTCCTCTTTCCAGGGCTCCCCTCTATTTCAGCCTCGGCGTATCAGCCTCCCCCCTCTGCTGTCGATTTTTTTTTCTTTCTTGTTCCTTTATAGATTTCGGCAAGTCGAGGAGGAGGGAAGGTGGAGTCGGTGAGTGGAGAGAGATGAGCCGGCGGGCCCTGCACTAACTCATGTAGCCTCTTCTGCGACGGCGAAGCTGTCCCGGGACCTGTCCTCCGCGGCCGCGTCCGCTTTCTCCGCCATCGTCGGCGGCCACACCGAGCTTTCAATCCGAACGAGCCGTGCCGCGGAGTCGTGGCAGCAGGCGGCGAGACGAGAGCGAAGGACCGCGACCCGACCGAACCCCGGCTGCTACTTCGAGGGCTTCGCCTCATACAACAATACGAATGAGTCCCAGGGCGGACAAACCGTGGATTTCGACCGGGATGCCATTGCAGTCAGTACATCTTGATCCCAGCAGAAGCATGATTTTTTTTTTTTTTGAAAAAAAGAGAAAATATGTCCGCACAAGGGGAGGAACAACCACCAAAATAATGCAGTAGCTGGTTCCCTTTCACTAATTGCTTATTTCATGTCTTATTATCGCATTTATTCTTAAAACAGGAGTTCAGAAACCCAGTTTCTGTCCGACGCTTCCTTCCCGTTCATCAGTCGGCTACCTTACGCAGGAAAGCGGCCGACTTTTCAGTTCAGTTCCCCAAAACTGCTGTCTGAAGGCACGGCAGCGAGCTTAAATGCAGAAAAAGTACTTCGATGTCAAATTTATTCATTGAAAAATAAAAGCACGGGACAGGCGTCAGATTTTGAACCTTAAATTTGCCAACCACATCAACTAGGCGATACCTTGCGAGGATGGTTCTTAAACATTCAGCATCCACCGTTCGATAAAAGTACATATATCCCTAATTTGAAAAACTGTCGATTTCAATACTGTAGAAACTGTAATATCACCACACCGTAAGAGGGGGAAATAAAATTCTAATGCGTGTTCATAATACAATAGTGATGCTAGCTGCGATGCTAACAGCTAACATACCCAGAAAACAGTTAAACAAATTATTCCCTCGCGCATCTGACATATAAAATGACTTCGGAGATTCCGGATATACTGGATATTACTTCGATCGACAATACTGTTCGTGCATCTATTCGAACATCGAACAAATTTGGATCTTGCGCCCTCTCTGAATTAATAACTGTATGCAAAGACAGGTTTTCAAAAATATTTGCGAAAAAAATGTCAAACCCGTGCAAAGCGAAGCTGCCTTTACTGTACGGTCCCGCTTGCGATGCGTAGTCTATCAGATCGATTCTTGCTATAAATTTATTTCTCCAAATTATTTCGATAACTGGTTAATTGGCATTAAAATTGATCCAATTAGCCCGTTTTATTTTGCAGCGAGGGTCTCCTATTGCGAGGGCTTGCTGTATGTTGAAAAGAGTAGCTTCTTTCTCATCATACCGACAAACTACGGTCTTATACTAATATTTATCCATTGGTGCTTCGCGCATGTGGACTGATTGGCAAATTTGGCAAGAAATAATCTTACACTGCGTATAACGACCGGAGCTGGTAAAGGCTAGCAAAGAAAACCTCAAACCAAGAACAAGAGAATATGTCTATGAGCGAAAATCGGATAAAGCGAGGGGTGTCGCTACAATATTATGGGTTATTTTAGAAGTGGGAAGCTTCGGATCCAAAAAATATACACCTCCCGAAATAGCTGGCTCCTCAAAATCCTTTCATTAAGTCTTTGTGATGGTGTGTCCCCCCCTTCGCGTTTATCCTTTTTATTTTCTTTCTTCAGTTTAATTCCTTTTCTCTTCCCTCTTTTCTGGTCTTTAATGTCTCACTTTCTCGTTTTTTTGTCTTTCATGGCGTTTTCCTCCCGTGACGATTGGTCAATTAGCGATTATTTTTGCGATTAGGTGGTTTAATTTCTCCTTCTCTTCCTCGCAGGTTTTTCCTTCGTTTAATATATCGTCTTCTTCCGCCTCTCCTCTCCGCTCCGTAAAAAACCCTTCCTTGGATATTCAACGGAGAATTTGCCTTTTATTTCCCGCTTCCTCCTCCGTTCGGATGTGTCTCTTGAATTTTTTTTTATTGTTCCGAGACGGCACCGCCACTCTTGCGTGTCCGGCGGCTTTCGGAATCGCTATAGTCGGCGTAGAAGTCGTTCTCTCTCTCGGTCTCTCCTGCCTCTCTCCGTCTCTCCGCACAAACAAAATGGCGGCTTGTTGTTTCTACTCCTCAGATACGGGGGGGAGGGTTGGAGGTACAGCAGCATTGGAAGGGGGGGTAGTCGGCGCTCGGAAATTCCCGGAAAGGACTCTCGTAGCCTTTCGGAGCTGCAGTAGCTACATGTTTGTCGACGGGGGGCAGTGGTGTCGTGCCACTGTTTAGACACTGTCGACCGCGGTTGAGCAGCCGGCGAAAAGGTTACATTGAGAAATTCTCATATATTTCCTGGTTGTTGACAACATGCCAACATATTATCTTGGTTTAAATAGTTTAGAGCAGTCAAATTGGACCGATATACAGATTTTTTTGTGTTATTTCTGGCCATTAATCTGTACTGTATGTTGCTATTTAGGATTGGCGTATGTGTGATATTGATATTGCTATTTGTTCCCAATCATGCATCATAAAGAAATCACCAAATCCGAAGCATATTGGTCTTTTAAATAGAAATATTGTGTCCCAGTACAGTGCAGCTCCTATATTCTGACTGCTAGTGGAATACAACAAAAAGTTTTAAATTTTTAATTTTCAACAGAACAATATATTTTGTGCATTGAACAAAAGGTTATTCCCAGTGATAGCCACACTCTCACAGGCTGTCGGCTGACAGTGTCTGGCCCGACTGTTTGCCATATATTTTTGCTCCTTTGCCACTTAACTCCTCAGGACAGTTATAAATTGTGCTTTACTAATTTAACCGTTCTCCTTTGTGCACACGTGCCCTCAATGTCAGTGGTGCTTTTAGGTGACTCAGGAGATGGTTCGACGGGCCCCCACCATCCTTCTGACTCAGGACATCATTTTCCATGCGTAGTCTGTGGTATCTCTAGATACCCCTCATCATTTTCAGAAATGTACAAATCTGGGAAGAAGAGGTTGAGTGGGTAAGTTAGCTAAAAAGTATTCTGCTTTGAGTTTTGGTATATGTTGGTTTTCATAGTATTATCTAACTTTCATAACTGGTTGTCTAGTACAAGAATGCCATGAATGTGGAGTCTACTATTGTATGGAATATGTATGTGAGCCAATTAGAATAACGTAGTTGTCTGCATTCATTAGTCATAATATGTGATCTGATTTTCATCTTAGTTACAATAATGAACAAACACAATCGGTTTTAACTGATGACACACCTAATATTGTATTGTTCTAGTACGCATTGAATTAATCAAAAAAGTGTCGGAGTCCCTGGGCTAATGACTTCAACAAAAGCTAAATGGAGTCTGGAGTGGAGTGGAATCAATGAAATGAGATTGGAGGTGTAGGTTACAGCTACTTTGACTTCTAAAAGAATACTCAAACATTTTGAGTTTGCTGTTCACAAAAAACATCTGTTAATGTGAACTATGCCAAGCAAAAAAAAAAAAAAAGAGAGAACTCAGAAGACCTACGATCAAGAAGTGCTGATTTGGATAAAGCTGGAGAGGGCTACAAGCCACCTGAAAGGGTTTAGATATTCAGGGTTTAGATATTCAGAAGTTGATAGCCTGTCTATAAATGGAGACAATTTAGTACTGTGGCTAAACTGTCTATGAGTAGACATCCAGCCCGAACGACTCCAAAGACGCAGCTTGCACTGTTCAATGAGGTAAAAATGAATTCAAGAGTGACCCTAAGGGTTTGAAGGAATCATTGGAACCGGTTACCATCTCTGTTCATTGGTCTTCCATATGCAAAGCATTAAACATTCATGGTGTCCGTGGCAGGACAGCACAGAGGAAGCCACTGTGCTCCAAAAGGAACACTGCTGTTTGCCGAAGACCATGTCACACGCCACTGTGCTACTGTGCTAATGTGGACAGATGAAACTAAGGTTCGAATTGTTCGAGGAAAGAACGTGCAGCATTTTATATTGCATTCAAAGGGCACAGCATACCAATATGAAAACATCATCACCATGGTGACCTATGGCGGAGGGAGCATCATGATTTCGGGCTGCTTTGCTGCCTCAGGGCCTGGACAGCATGCCATCATCAAGGGGAAAATTACTGCTCAAGATTATCAAGGTATCCTACAGGATAATGTCAGGGTGGCTGTCTGCTGGACGGGGCTCAGTAGGAGTTGGGTGATGCAGTAGGACAATGACCCTAAACATTGAAATAGATCTACTACAGAGTGGCTTCAGAATAGAAAATCTGCAATTTAGAGTGTCCCAGAACAGACCGCAACTTAAGAGAGACGCTATTCACACTAGACATCCTAAGAATAAGGCCGATCTGAAGCAGTTGTGTAAAGAAGAATTGTTCAAAAGTCCTCCTGAATGTTGCACAGGTCTGATGTGCGACTATTAGAAGTAGTTCAGCCAGTTATTAAATCCACAGGTTCACTTACTTTTTCTAAGCTACGCTGTGACTGTTTGAATGATGTTTGAATACGTACAAGAACAAAATAATTTGTGTATCATTAGTTAAACACTAATTAGTTTCTTCATTATTGGAACTCGGATCAAGATCAGATCACATTATTTGACCACTTAATGCAGAAAACTAGGGTAACATAATTCTTCTTGCAACTGTGTGAGAGGAAGCATAAGCCACACACAACCACAGGCTATGGGAAGTTTAGACACCAGTTCACCCTGCTGCATGTCTTTGAATTATGGAAGGAAATCTGTAGTCCAGTATTTCCCAATCCGGTCCTTGAGGACCCACCGTCTGTCCCGTGTTTTCTCTCCCTCCCAACTCAAGGTAGATGTGAATATTTTTGCTCCTTACCTTGAGTTGGGAGGGAGCAAAAACATGGACTGTCTAAGTCCTCAAGTTCCGGATTGGGAAATGCGATTGTAGAAACCAGAGAACGAACAAACTCCACACACACACAGCAGAAGTGGCGTTTGTGCCCCCCAGCCCTGGAGGTGTGGGACAGAAGTGCTATCCAGCCAGCTACTGTGTTGCTCCCACTGAGACATTTTCATTGGCTTTTGCTTAAGTGATCATTCTTATATAAAGTAGTCACTGTCTTTCGTGGTGTCATTCCACAACCATAATGAAATGATCCTTTATTTGCCATTTGCACAAGTACACATAGTCTGTCTTTTTTCATATCTCATCTTACTCTCCTGTCTACTTCGAGACATACACATACTGCTGTGCCAAAACATTATGACCACCTCCATGCAAAGCAAATAATTTTGATTATCTCAAAAAAAAAAAAGGTGTGTGTTAAGGTTTGGGATGTATTACACGATAAGCTAACTTTCGGTGTTCGTAGACGACATGCAGAAGAAATTGGGCAGGGATAAAGATCTGAGTGATTCTGACAAGGGCTAAATCATTATGGCAGACAGCTGGGTGAGAGCTTCCTCAGAACAGCACGGCTTGTGGGGTGCTCACAATCCGCTATGGAGAGTACCTACTGAGAGTGATCTGAGGAGGGACAGACCACCAACTGCTAACAGGGTGTTTGGCGGCCGAGATTCATTAATGTGGGATCTGAATGACGGCTATCTTGTGTGGTACAAGCCAACTGATGAGCTACTGTGGCACAAATAGCAGATTATTTTGATGATCATCATGGGAGTAATATCTCATGACACACAGGGCATGGAGCCCTGCTCCATTCAACATGTCAACTATGAGCACTGAATTTTAGCTTACTGTCTAATAGTGTTTCTCAAACCAGTCCTCTCAGGGAAGTGGGAGAGAGCAAAAACACGGACTGTCTGGTCGGGGGGGGGGTCCCTGAGGTTTGGTTTGAAGAACACTAGTCTAATATATCCCAGACCATGACATGCACCTTTTTCACTGGATCGTACACATTATTTGCTTCACATGGTGGTGGTCATTCATGACGTTTTGGCTACAGGTGAGCGCAAACCTTGAGGCCCAAGTGCAGGATCAGGCTATTTATCTGGTGCATTTCAAAGAGGGTGAAGGGGGTAGGTGAAGGGCCCGGTGGAGACGTCACTGTTCTGCTGAGGCTGGGGCTCAAACCTGCAACCTTCCATTTAGAGGCACAGAGGCTTAACCCACTAACCCACTCCCCCCATCAGTATAAAGGCGGGTTTGTCTGTCTGTCAAGATTCACTAAGACAGGTATTGTCACATGCAGAGGTATGTAAACCACATCATTAGGAGTCTTACAGTATGAGTGTGTGGAGCACATGAGCTCATGATGACCATTCCAGGATGCAGGGGCATTGAGGGAAACGGCTCAGAGATGTCATGTACATCCACACCCAGATGGTGACAGTATCTGCGCGGCCAGAAAAAGTGACATAAAAAGCCGAAATCCTAAGAAAACTAAACCAGCTTCTTTCTTGGTTGTACTGACTTGACACTGTGCAACAGACCTACCCACATGTTTCAAAGCCTCAATTTCCTATCAGGCCTTTAAAATACAGATTTCAATCATCTCAAACTTTATTAAATAAGTAACCAATAACAAAGGGACAGACTGCAGCAGCACCGATGAGGACATAGCTGCACTATATAGAAGGCCCAGGTTTGGGCCCAACAGCATTACCGTGGTGTTCAGAGCAAAGGAGCATGATGACACTCATTCCATCTGGATCTCCAGGGTGGCCTCACAGGTAAGAACCTGGGTCAACAGGAAAAGGAAGCAGGCACATATAAAATCATGGTTTTCATGGTGTGGAGATAAGATTCATTATGATCTTCCTCAAACAACTTTTATACCCATAATGCAAGAAACAGAAAAGCCACAGACAGTCAGATACCCCAAAAGAAACTTGTCTCATTCAAGTGACTTTGGGGGAGTGTTTGTAAGGGCACATCACATATATGCCATTACAGGCATTTTGGCAACACACATGAGCAGATTCTTATTAGCGTTTCCAAACACACTCATCTCTCGCAAGCCAACACACTAAATCCATCAGTGCGTGTGTGGAAAGATTCATCAAGAGCAGAGTTCAGTCACCCGTTTCAAAACACACCAACAAGCGCATATTCTAGCATTACTCCGGAGACTGCACCTTAGCCTCAAACTCAAACCGATATCAATAATAAACATGAATATTAACTGGGGTAGAAACACATAGTATATTCTCACATACACAATTCAAGGCAAGCACAACATTTATTCATGAGATGCTTTTGCTCATAACAATAACTGAGGATCTGAGAACCAGGTCAACCAGCCTCTCTGGAGCAACTGGGCTCAAGGGCCCACCAGTGATATGATCACTTTGTCATTCATGGGATTTGAACCCATGCCATTCCGACATGCTTAACTCTACAACAAGCTCCAAGCTTGGCCCTTGGTGTCCCTAAACTGGAATATATCAACTATTATTAATGTAAGTAATTAATCTGTTATAGTTCCGGTGTCTGAATGTTCAGGGTCATGGGTGTGTGTGTGTGGGTGTGGGGGGTAGAGACAGGATTCCAAAAAAAGCAACACATACTAACCTCATGTACAGGTTCAATAATCAGAATCAGAATTCAAGTCACAATGAACCTTCCATGACTGGTGGGCGGAGCAGAGATCATTAGCTGAAGCCTGATGTACATTTTGCACCATGTATGGTGCATCAAAGCAGAACGAGGCGACTTCAGACCTGACCTGGAGAGCTACCAGCTCCGTATGGACTGTGCCTTACATGCATTCAGAGCACAATGGATGATAGACATCATGGATAGAAAGAGTCATAGGGTTCATTCAACTTCTGAAACAGATAAAGGGGATTATGATTAGCTAGCAGGCCATTCAGCGGGGCCCCAAGTTCACCCTAAGATGTCATGCTGTGCTGTATCACAACACCAATATTAAGCAAAATAAGGCATACATTATGCAAAATAACATAAAGATCGACTTTTCCTAGGTTATATTTAAGCAATGAAAAGATCTTGTGTTTTAAAATACCAAAAGGATTTTCAAGAACATTCTAAATATACCACAAACTAAAATGCAGCCTAATATTACATTACCATGTAGCTCTAAGAAAGGACAAAACAATAAAATATCTCTAACAATATAGTTGGTGCTAGCACCCTAGCATACACTGCTCTCCAGTCCTCTGATCCACAAGGACCTGCTGTTCCCTGTTATATCTGTGTGGTAATACCCTCCACCTCCATTTCTAGGTTTTTCCATGGTCCTTGGGCAGTGAATGAAGTGTCTGAAGTACTGCATCAGGGGCCTCCCCTCCAGCAGGGGGCACCTGTGAATTTTGAGAAGATGTGGGTAGCATGGATCAGGCTGTGCACTACCTGAGACATGTTGGGAATGTTGGGCATGGCAATCACCTGACATTTTTGTTATGACAGTGGTGGGAAATGTGCGTGTGAAGTTCCAGGAGTCCCAAGCAAACTGACAGCAGCTTCCTCACATCCGTAAATGATACGCAACGTCCCGGAAATCTGTCGTTCAGCAGTGATAAAAGCCCATCCCAGTCAATATACACTCACCTAAAGGATTATTAGGAACACCATACTAATACGGTGTTTGACCCCCTTTCGCCTTCAGAACTGCCTTAATTCTACG